TTCTTTTGTGTTTCAGAAAAAGTGGATGTTTTAACCTTAGTTGATAAAAGAAATGACTAAAACTAGCCGAACTCTGTATAAACTCTAAAGCCAGGAAAATGAAATTCAAATCCATCCCTCCTGCTAAACAGCTGTGTTACTTTGAGCAAAGTATGTTAAGTTCTGTGTTTTGGTTCCCTCAATTGTAAAGTGGCAGTAAAAATAGTTACTTCATAGGGTTTTAAGGATTGATGAATATGAAAACCACTTACAATTTACTGGCACACAACTGCTCTGTAAAGTTTGCCTTTAGTTTTACTGTTGCAGATTTTTACAGTTCAGTTTGTGAAAATCTTCCAAATGAAAATTATTTAATTATACCTATAAAAAAAGAACATAATTTGTATTCATTAAGGGAGGAGGATGAAGACTAATGCAAGAATCTTAAAACCCAAGTGAGGTAACACTGAGTACTTCTGAAAATAAGTTTTAGTTTAAGAAATCAAAAACATTCTCATTAGTAACAAGTGACACTTTCTTAGAAATAAAGTTTATATTAATTCTAATTTCTTTTTTGCTATACTCTGATAATGCAGGTTACAGGTTATAAGTCTTATAGTTTAATTCTGATATGTACAAATAAAATCAGAATTTAAGTGTAAAATTAAATTTTACACTTTCCATATAGCAGCACCTAGTTTGTAGAAAGTTTATGTATGTATCCTTGTAAATGTACTTTATAGGTAATGAAATTAGCTAAAAGAAATGTATACAAAAATTACTGTTAACTGTTTTCTAGGGTGAAAAAAACAAATCTATTGCAAGCATTAAGGTATATCTAACACAATCTGGATTAAGACTTTTAAGATACTGAGTATTGCCCAGTACTGCTCAGTAGACAGATGTGTTAACTTATTTACATTAATACTACTTATACATATCCCTCTCACTCAAAATTCCACACTACACAGGTAAAAGAAAACAGTAGAGATAAATTTTATTAGGTAAAAGTCCAAATACTTGTTATTAGTATACTATAAATAAAAGAGAGAATACCCCAATTATTTCTATATTTAAAAATTAGATATCCTAGAACTTAGGTTAATAAGGCCAAATAAAATCAAGATGATGAATGTGGCTGTTGTTCCATTGCTTGCTATGTTCTCTGCTTCTCTGCCAATGAAACATATCCCTAAGGCAGTTTATAGCTTAAGCCATGTATTTTTCAAAAGAACATATACCTATATTTTTAAATTAATCAGCAGACAGAAAGTCCACCTATTTTCTACTTTACAATAAAAATAACAATCCAATCCCTTGGTATAAACCAATTAAATTAAATATATTGGAAGAGTAAACAATTCCTAATAGTCTTGTCTTTTTTTTTTTCAAAGATTCATTTTATTTATTTATGCATACAAGAGCTGGGGTGTAGGCCAGAGGGGTGTGTGTGTGTGTGGGGATGTTCAAAGGATTCATCAGAGACAGAGCAGAAGAAAAGGTGGCCCTAGTGACATACACTGCTGAGGAGAGCAATGGGCAAGACAGGAGAGGTAGCTGCGCCATGTGGGTCACCTTCCTGGCCAGGGATTGAACTTGTGCTTCAATGTCTGCTGATATCTTCATAGAACTGAGGCTTAACCCCTTGCACCACCAGGCACAATATTATATAATTATTATGTAATAATTATAATAATAATAATATTCTCAAGTACATGTTTCTAACTTGATCAGCTTTCCATTAAATCACACATAACTTTAAATATTCTGCTGTTATATACAGAATTCAAAAATCTTTTAGACAAAACACCAACAAAGAAGTTCTATAACGTTTTATGCTTAATTAAAACAAAGAGAATAGGCCCTCCCTGGTGGCACAGTGGGTTAAAACACAGCACTAAGAAGATAAAACCACTTCAGCAAGAGTTCAATCCCCTGCCCAGGAGGTGATCCACATGGCATGGCAGACCTCTCCTGACCTGCCTGCTGCTCTCCTCAGGAGTGCCCTCAGGGGTGTATTTGATTTCGTCAGTCCACCTGTTCTGCTCCCCACTCTGTCTCTGGTGAATCCTCTCACTGCCCCTGCACCTCTGGCCTGTATTCCAGCTCTGTATGCATAAATAAATAAATCTTAAAAAAAAAAAAGCAAAGAGAATAAAGCTGTGAAGGCTTAGGCAAATAAGAGAAACCCTCATACCACAAGGTATAAATGCTAAGTAAAGACATGTGTTTCTTAAATTTTCAAATTTTCATTTTCTTTAAAATATATTCTAAGGTTCAAAGATAAAAATGTAAACCAAGTATAATGACCAAAAATAAAAAAATAATTAAATCAAAACAAAAACCTGGTAGACATAAATAAGCAGAAATATATTTTAAATTGGATCCTCAGGGTTACAAACTAACACTTTGCCAAACTAATTACAAATATGGGAAGAAAATCAACAGTGATTCCTCTCCTCACCTTTAAACACACATACAATACTAAGTTGTCTATAATGGAATTTTTTGTTTGTTTGTTTGAAAAGCAAGAGGTGTGGGCACTTCAGTAATTAGAAAATCTAGCACTATACAAAGATAAGAAAGGCAAACACAACTGTTCTAATGAGAACATGGGATGCTAATTTCAAACAAGGTGACAGGATTTATGTCACAATAGGCCAAAGTGATTTTGGAACAGTAATTACTTAAGACTTTTAAATTTCTATTTCTGCACAATTTCTTCCTATAGTCCCTCTTTGAAGGCAAATTACTTAAAATTTAAAAATCTGTATCATAGATTCCTTATCCTAAAACTTTCATTCCTAGGACATAAATTGATTGAACTGAACTACTAAACACTATACTATGCTCTCCAGCCTATAGCATTGATGGAACTAAAATCCATTTCTCTTAGTACACTTAAAGGACTTTTTTATTTGTAAAAATGACCCTGAAGAAGTCATCACTAATTCTTTAAAACCTGATATTCTTAATTGTAAAATGATGGAGTGGGTCTGCGTTCTATGGTTCCCCCCAGTTGTAAACTATGTAGAAATGTCTATAACTTAAAACAAGCTCAAGGAACTAAAAGTTCAGAAGTGAAAAAAATTGAAAGAGGGTCTTGAATCAATTCAAATGTTGGTCTATCTACAGAATACCATGGGGGGGGAGGAAATTAGAACCCATAAACCTGGAGGAAAGGAAGCAGGCAGCTTGAGAACAATTTAGATTTGGTGAGGTTGGTTTTTAAGAATGGGAAATGATGAGGTAAGGTTGAACAGAAGTGTTTCCAACATAGTTGCTGGGGAGGAAGGACTGCTTAGGAACTTTCAAAGAGGCTTCCCTCAGCAGTTAGATAAGCTCTGAAAATTAACCAGAAGGGTACATCTCCATGTCTTCTAGGACTGATATGGCCAAGTTCCAAAGTCCTTTGCTAAAAATAGCTGAAGGGAGCAGCTCAATTTAGAGTAAGACACTGTCTATTGTTATGTTCTCCTAAGTGTGAACCATATAATGATGGAGACGTTTCTATAACCCATCAGTCTAAAGAGAAGCAGGTGCTAAGAACTATTCTATTCACTGAGTACTAAATTTCAGGTCACAGTTTATATAATTACAGAAACTGGTCACACAAAAGCATTTGCAATCAAACGCTATAAATACTTCACAGACATTGGGAAAAACAAAAATAAAAATTATCCGATGTCAACATACACCTTAGATCACGAATTTTAGGAAACGGGACACTAACATCACTGAATCCAATTCCTTTATTTTAGAGATGACTAAATCTCCAGAGAATTTTAAGATAAACTTAAATTCAAAATGAAAAAAGGATGGTTTAAGACAAAGGTGGAAATAGTAAAGAATCTATGGAAATCTGATTATTCAAGAAATAACATTCTGCAGAGTCTGGTTTATGTAGAAATAAGAAAAATGAAAAAGGTGTCAATACAATAAAAATAAAAATAAAAGACAATGTACAAGAAGAATGAAGATACATAGTCATACTGAGTACAACTGAAGAAAATGTCCTTTGCACTCTTTAGTAAAACATTTCAGAAACAGACTAATATTTTGACAATAAGCTTATAAATCTGGGACTACTGTCACAAGAAATTGTCCTGTCATAGCAACTGTCATATAAGTGAAGTCCATGCAGGAAACAGAAGCTCCAAGTCCCAAACATCCGCATTTTGGCCTCTGCTGTGTATGTCCATTTTCATGGGATAGAGAACACAAAATTGACAGGACGGCCCCATGATCTGACAGTAAGATCACACACGCCCAATCACTAGCAGTTCCGCGTGCCGGCCACCTGTTAGCCTGCCCACTGAGCCCCCAAAACTGCTCCAGCCAGGAACTGGTGATGCCTTTGTTGTTCCCTAACTTCAGGAGCTACGAGACTTCAGTTTACCGTGACGCCTGAAGGCAAAACTTCCCCCAAGACGAGTAAATCGGCCCAGACTGGCCTGGCAAAGCCCTCTTCTTAGCTAAGAAAAGGCGGGAGAACCCCAGGCGAAGCACACTTGTCACCTACTAATCCCAGGAAGAAGTAGGAGCCAAAAGCGAGTGAAGTCGGGGACCGAGAACCCAGGGCCCTACAGAGATGCAGGCTCCGGTTCGCAAAGGAGGTGGGTTCCCAAAGGGGGGTGGGCCGTCCCGCTGGGTTAAGAACTGCGAGATCCCGGGATCCGGGAAGGAGAGTGCTAACAAGAGCGGGGTTGGGGAGGGGTGGTCAGGAGGCAATGGCTGGGGAAGAGCTGAAGTGGAAGGCAAGAAACTTGGGCTTGAAAGGGACGGGTGAGGCTGGGATGGGGAACAGCGAGGCGAGAGGCAAGCGGAGACGAGAAGCTAAACTGAGGTGAAAGGCGCGGCCAGCGTAAGGGGAAGGGCTGAAGTAAGGGTAGCCCTGCAGGGACAAGGGACAGGCGATGGGAACCCCCACCTACAGGGACCGGGGCAAACTGCTGACCCGCTCTTTTCACAGGCTGGACCCGACCGGCTGCACTCAGACCCTGTCGGCCCAGAAGACTCACCCAAACGATGCAGAGGCCCCACAACAGGACATGGGGACCGGTCCAGACCCACAGTAGAACCAAGCGGGTGGAGGAAACCGCGGCGTTAGCGTGACCCGGATGCGCATCCCTAGGAACCGGAAGTCAGCGACCAGGGTCACCTCACAATCCACACCTCGTTCCTCCACTAGCCGCTAGGCGCATGTGTCAGGCCTCGCGGGGCGGTACAGCTCCTAGATCCCGCCCACTCTCCCGCCCCTGGAGCCCCGCCCCTAGTTACGCCCCGCCCTTGATTACGCTTGGCTCAGGGCTTCTAAACCGCGTGGTGCCAGTGCACTGAATCTTGCTGAGCCCAGGCACTAGTACTACTGAGGCAGTAACATCCCCTGTGGAAAGTAATTCGGCTCTCATTTCTCTAGAAGGTCTTTTAAAATACGTGTAATCGGGCCCTCCCTGGTGGTGCAGCGGGTTAAAGCACAACACTAAGAAGCTAAAGCCACTTCCGCATGAGTTTGATGCCCGCCTGCCCCAGAGGCGATCAACTTGGCGAGGCAGATCTCTCCTGACCTTCCCGCTGCTCCCCTCTGCAGTGTACTTCGTCGATCTGTCTGTTTTGCTCCCCAGAAACAGGTGAATCCTCTCAGCACCTCTGGCCTGTACCCCAGTTCGTGTATGCATATATAAATAAAAATCTTAGAAAAAAAAACCACTCTGGGTTAGCCTCCCCCAGGGTGTCTTTCAAAACGTCCCACCCATTCTTTCAGTTTTTCTCCATCTACCAAATGTATCCAACATTTCTCCTTACGTTTTAGGGAGACAGAGATTACACCCATTTTTTTTTTGAAGATTTATTTATTTATTTACATGCAGAACTGGGATACAGGCCAGAGGTGCAGGGGTGGTGAGAGGATTCACCAGAGACAGAGTGGGGGCAGAAAAGGCAGGTTGACAAAGTACACTGCTGAGGGGAGCAGCGGGCGGAATAGGAGAGGTCTGCTGCCATGTGGGTCACCTCCAGGGCCTGGGATCGAACATGCTGAAGAGGCTGCCCCTAGCTTTGTAGTGCTGTATATTAACTCGTTGCACCACCAGGGTGGGCCCTCATGTTGATATTTTTATCTCCAATGTTAGTTACTATTTAATATTGTGTTGAACTTACAATTAACTTCTATTTCGTGTACATTGTTTATGTAATCATTTTATCAGAAATAAAATTCTTAATTACTTTGTTTATTTTAAATTAGTACTGAAATAGGAGTAGGAGTAAGGTTGAATTCAGATTTTATGGGGCCTAAAGTTTATTCAAGTTGGGCCCCCTATTTTAAAAAGTCCAGAATTTTAAGACAATATTAGGTATAAAAAAGAATCTTTAGAAAATAAATAACAAACCATGAACTTTTAAATTCCACAAAAACTACACAGCATTGACTAATAACTTGAGACACTGAAAAAAACCTTTTTCCTATATATTTTGGCTGTGTGTTCTTTGATAACCCCTTCCAATGACAGCGTTCTACCAAGTAACATTATTAAGATCTTTGACTCCCCTGTTTCATACCCCACATATAATTCATCAGCATGTTTCACAGGATGTGCTTTCAGAAATCTACCCAGAAATTGACAATTTATTGCCTTTTTGGGTACAATTCAGGGGCAATCGTTGACTGCTTGCCCTTTTTATATTCTTGTCTTTCCACACTATATTAACACAGCAGCAGTGAGGTCCTCTTAAAAACCTTAAGTAGATCATATTCTTCCTCCAAATAAAGTGAAAACCAAAGCTAGTCATTGGTCGATAGGATCCTCAAGATTTGGCCTACTCCCCAATTCAACTAGTCTCATCTTCTACTCTTTTCTGTATCCCTCCACTCAAGGCACATTGACCTCTTTGCTGTTCCTTAAACCTGCATGTAAACTCTGGGTCTTTGTGCTTGCTGATCTTGGACTGTTCTTCCCCCAGATAACCGCATCATTTACCCATCATCTCCTTTACATCCTTTTTCAAATGTCATCCTCTCAATGAGACTTGCCTGACACTATTTTTTTAATTGAAGAACCACATTCTTCTCATACTTTCTAGTCCATTTTTCTCTAATAACACACATGCTAGCCTACAATATGCTGGCAAATTTGTTTTCAAGTCACACATGCATGAACGCCACAATATAAGATCCACGAGGGCATGGGTGCTGTCTGTCTTGCTCATTAATAGTATTTCAGTACTAATACAGAGCCTAGCACTTAGTAAGAGTCCAATAAATGTTTGTTGACTGAAAAGATACTGTTCCTTTACTCTTTGTTCTGAAACCAGGCAAGCTCGGGCTTCAGTGACACCAGGGGGAGCCCAAGAGTAACTATTGTGTTTTCACCACTGAAATTTCACTACATCATGTGTATATGTACTCAGAATTCTCAGACAGTGCTAGCCAAAAGCACATAAAATCCTTTCGAGGGCTGTACTTACTGGTAATAAAAATCTTCCAGTGTTTTCATAGTCCTTTAAGAATAAAGTCCAAGCTCCTTACTATGATCTACGTGGTCCTTATTGGACCTGCTCTTAACTTCTGTATGTTATCAGGCCCTTCCTTCCTTCCCTCACATACTGAGCTCCAGCCACTCTGTCCTTCTTTCTGCTTCTTTTACAAATCAAACTTTTTGAGACATCCAGAGACACTTGAAAGAGACACATGGGTGAGAGACCCATGGGGAGGTTGACAGTGGCAGCCTTTATTTTGACTTTATTTTGATTTTGCTCCCTTCCTTCCAGATTCGCTTGAAACCTTCTTCCTCTTTCTTGTGACTCCCCATCAGAAAGTGTCTTAGACTTGTGGCAAACTTGGGCTTCAGTGGCCCGGCTTTGGGCCAACCCTGTTTGGCAGGGCATTTATTCATGAGAGGATGGGTTTCAGCACCAGTAATGTGAGGGGCTAGTGCATGTAGCTGGAGTTGTAACTTGGTTGTTTCTTTGGAAACCATATCCTTTCTCTTCTTTTCTGTCTATACATACTAATTCTATTAAAGTTCTTTTTCTGTTGAAGATCTCAATCACTAAGCCTATGCTTTGTCCATGTGTTACAGAATCCATTTAGACTGTGCAAATTTGTGGGTCTCGGGGTGCCCCTCAGTCTGCAGGCTAACAATAGCCCTGCGTGTCCAGTACTCTTCTACTGGGATGCCTTTCTATTTTGATGAATATACTTGAGACAGCGTCTTCTTGTGTCTAATAGCAGCTGTGTTGGCACAGCCTTTGGATGCCACATACCTGGGAACTGTCCTCATGGGCAACACTAGCTACATGTACTAGGCCCTCACTTAACTGGTGCTGGATTACCTTTTCCAGCTGTTCTTATTCAGGATACTGGTTTCTACTGCTGCCTTCACCTTATTCAGCATTACTCTGTCCCATTTTGATTTTCTGTTCCCACTCTTGGTTCCTCTCTGATTCAGGTAGCCCCCTCTGTTGTGAGTGTTACTTGCCAGCTGCCAACAACTAAGATGAGTCGGCTCCACCCCTTGTACCTGTCCAATTTCATGACTTGATCTGGATCACACTGACGTCACTTGGAAGTTTCTTGTCAATCAGATAATGGATTGATGTATATTTCTAATTATGACTGTACTTTCCCCCCACGAATGCTATTAGCAATGGGTATTTCTTGTGAGTAGAATTAAAGAACTATTAATTTTTTTTAAAGATTTATTTATTTGTACATACAGAACTGGGGTACAGGCCAGAGGTGCAGGGGCGGCGAGAAACTTCACCAGAGACAGAGTGGGGAGCAGAACAGATGAAATACACTGCTGAGGGGAGCAGCGGGCGGGTCAGGAGAGGTCTGCCTCGCCATGTGGATCTCCTCCGGGGCAGGCAGGGATCGAACCGATGTGGAAGTGGCTTAAGCCTCCTTGTGCTGTGCTTTAACCTGCTGCGCCACCAGGGAGGTCCTAAAGAACCATTAATTTTATATGTATCTGTCAAGTTTGCTTTTTTCCCCCTTCACTATAGTGAGGGTGTGTAGACATTAAAAACAAGGACCCTTATGGTGATAGCACATGGGTGATTTGGTGATGGGAAGCCCATGGGATTACAACTGAGATGGAAAAAGGCACAAAATGATATAAAAATAGACTATTATATTAGTTAGAAACAACAAGGATACTGGCGAGAGACTGTGTCTGTTTGAATCCTGGCTCACCCACTGGTAACTTGTGTGACATTGGGAAGGTCAACTAATGTCTCATTTCCTCAGTTTTGTCATTTATAAACTGGATATTTAAAAAAGATGCTTCTCTCCCACCAAAAGAAAAGAAATAAAAAAGCCCTGTCTCTTGTGGATCTGTGGCAAATAAACATATGTAAAGTGGTTTAGATTATGCCAGGTGCTATACCTATATAAGTGATTAAAAATCAGAAAAGAGGGCCCTCCCTGGTGGCGCAGTGGGTTAAAGCACAGCACTGAGAATCTAAAAGCCGCTTCTGCATGAGTTCGATTCCCGCCTGCCCTGGAGGTGACCACATGGTATGGCAGACCTCTCCTGGACCACCCGCTGCTCCCCTCAGTAGTGTACTTCGTCGATCTGCCTGTTCTGTTCCCCACTTTGTCTCTGGTGAAGCCTCTCACCGCCCCTGAGCCTCTGGCCTGTACCCCAGTTCTGTGTGCACAAATAAATAAATCTTTAAAAAAAAATCAGAAAAGAATGGATATATAAAAGCTAAACTATAAGGTTTCAGCTTAGAGATGTAGAAAAATGATAATAAATCCTGAAGTCCTGACCTTTATCAGGAAACTCGAGAAGATAAACTCATAATCCAATCCAAGTATTTTAGAGACTACCAAGCCCTGGATTATCTATTTTCTTTTGTCTAGAAAGATAAGGAAAGCCTTAGTGAAATTTTATATGGGAGTTGCCATAAAATTTAAGGTAGATCAAAATGAATTCTAAGTCATCATAAAAAAGATTAAGTCTTCTAACTAAAAAAGAAAAGTTTTTGTATAATATTAGAATGCTTGTTTTAATAATTCCAGAGAGTATTTACTTGTAACATGAAGCAAGCAATTTTTTATTATAGGAAACTACATTATTTTAATAAATACTTTTTATAAAAAGAGTAATTATTCATTTTTGTAAGATTTATTTTATTTATG